GTGCGGCCACATGTTTACTGGACCCGTGTCCCTCCTGGTTGGTACTGGCCTCCCGGGAGGTTACACGAGGCTGGCTCCAGGGTGTTATCAACGCTTCATTGAGTGAGGGTCACTTCCCCGCCGCCTTGAATGAAGCGGTGGTGAGGCCTCTCCTCAAGAAGCCGTCCCTGGATCCGGCAATATTGGCCAACTATCGTCCTGTCTCCAACCTTCGCTTCCTGGCGAAGGTTGTTGAGAGTGTGGTCGCGCGACAGTTTCCACAATTCTTGGAGGAAACATCCTATCTAGATCCGTTCCAGTCGGGTTTCAGGCCTGGACACAGCACGGAAACGGCATTGGTCGCGTTGGTTGATGATCTCTGGAGGGCTCGGGACAGGGGTTGTTCCTCTGTTCTGGTCCTGTTAGACCTCTCAGCGGCTTTTGAAACCATCGACCATGGTATCATGCTGCACCGGTTGGAAGAGTTGGGGATGGGGGGCACCGTATTACGGTGGTTCTCCTCCTTTCTCTCCGACCGGTCGCAGTTCGTGTTGGCAGGGGGGCAGAGGTCGACCTCAAGGCCTCTTATATGTGGAGTGCCTCAGGGGTCGGTCCTCTCGCCCCTCCTGTTCAACATTTATGTGAAGCCGCTGGGCGAGATCATCCGTGGCTTTGGGGTGAGATACCACCAGTACGCTGATGACACCCAGCTGTACATCTCCATCCCAGGCCACCCCAACGATGCCCTTGAAGTGATTTCCCAGTGCCTGGAGGCTGTGCGGATCTGGATGAGGAGGAACAGGCTCAGGCTCAACCCTTCCAAGACTGAGTGGCTGTGGCTCCCGGCATCCCGATATAGTCAGTTGACTCCATCACTGACTATTGGGGGCGAGTCGTTGGCCCCCACAGAGAGGGCTCGCAATCTGGGAGTCCTCCTGGATAGGCAGCTGTCCTTGGAGGAACATCTGACGGCTGTAACCAGGGGGACCTTTTGTCAGGTTCGCCTGATCCGACAGTTGCGGCCCTTTCTTGATCGGGATTCCCTGTGCACAGTCACTCATGCCCTCGTCACCTCTCGCCTTGACTATTGCAACACTCTCTACATGGGGCTCCCCTTGAGGAGCACCCGGAGGCTCCAACGGGTCCAGAACGCAGCAGCGCGGGTAGTGACGGGAGCAGCATGGCGCTCCCATGTAACACCGCTCCTGCGCGAGCTGCACTGGCTCCCAGTGGTCTTCCGGGTGCGCTTCAAGGTGTTGGTTATCACCTTTAAAGCGCTTCATGGCATAGGGCCTAGCTATCTTCGAGACCGCCTGCTGCCACCGACGACCTCCCATCGACCCGTGCGCTCCCACAGAGAGGGCCTCCTCGGGGTGCCATCAGCCAAACAGTGCAGGCTGGTGACCCCCAGGGGGAGGGCCTTCTCTGTGGGGGCACCTACCCTCTGGAATCAATTGCCTCCAGAGATAAGGAGAATCCAAGACCTCAATGCCTTCCGCCGTGCCCTTAAAACCTTCCTTTTCCAGCAAGCCGGGCTGGCCTAATTTTTTAAGTGTTTTTAAGTGTTTTGTTTATTGTTTTTAATTAATGGGGCCAAATTTATATATATATATTTTAACTGTATTTTAATATTTGTACTTGATGTTTTTACTTGGCTGTTCACCGCCCTGAGTCCTCAGGGAGAAGGGCGGTATACAAATTCAAAATAAAATAAAATAAAATAAATATACAATATCAACTTTGTTTCACCCAATGTAAAACCCTTAACTATACCCAGTAAAAACAATTGTGAAGAAAATTGAATTTTTTTCTTCAAAACATTCTGCATAACCCACCAAATTTTTATCCAAAAAGCCTTAACTTCCTTACAAGTCCACCAAACATGATAATATGTAGCATCTAAACAATCACATCTCCAACATTTTGGCTGAACATTAGGGTACATGCATGACAATTTCTTAGGATCTAAATGCCATCTATAAAACATTTTATAGAAATTTTCCCTCAAATTCTGTGTAAATTTAACGTTTTGAACCCAAATTTTTTCCCATGTTTCCAACATCACTGGTTCTTCAAAATTTTGTGCCCACTTAATCATACAGTTCTTTAACCAATTCAGTTTCTGAATCCCTTTCTAACAAGACATTGTAAAGCCTTTTAATATGCATTGGACCTTTCTCTTTTATAAATCTAACCAATTCTTCCTCATGCAACATAATACCAGTTTTTTGGTCCTCTTTCCATCTCAGTTGAAGTTGATTATACTGTAACCAAGTTAAGTTAATCCCTTCGTCCAACAGTGTCTGTAATGTCTTCCACTGCCATCTGCCCGCATCTGTAAAAAGAACCTCTTTGTATAAAACCCCCCCGAGTGACATTATATTTGTATTCCAAATAATATGACCAAGATCCAGCCATAGCGGTATTTTATAATCCCATTTGAGTCGGTGCTTCTTCCAAACTCCTCCAGGATTTTTTGAAAGACACAGTACAATGGTTCTGAGATAACATCTGCCAGCTCCTTCAGAACTCTGGGATGTAATTTGTCAGGTCCTGGTGATTTATATTTGTCAAGGTCAGATAGGTGTTGTCTTACCATTTTCTTGCTTACTTTAATTTTTATTGCTAGTTTGTCTTTTACAATAGGTTTTTTTGGTATGTTAGGCTATAATTTCTTTTTTGTGTGAAGACTGATACAAAGAGTGAGTTAAGCAGCTCTGCTTTCTCTCTACTGCCAGTTACTTCCTTGCTATTTTCTCTCCTTTGTGGACCTACTGTTTCCTTGACTTTTCTTGTTCTTAATATGTTGAAAGAAATGTTTTAAATTATCTTTGACTTTTGTAGCAAGCCTTAGTTCATTCTGAGCCTTTGCTTTCCCGACTTCATCTTTGCATGTTCTGGCTATCTGCTGATAATCAGCCTTAGTTATGTGTCCCTCTTTCCATTTTTTGTGCTTGTCCTTTTTGTCTTTCAATTTGTCAGAGAGATCTTTGTGCAGCTGTGCTGGCTTCTTGAATTTCTTGTTTTCTTTTTTCAGTGGTATTGTGCTGGAATGGGCTTTTATGATCACATTTTTCAGAATTTCCCATTCTTCTTGAGTTGTTTTCCCCTTTAAGATTTCCATTCATGGAATCTTTCCTACGCTCTCTCTGAGTTTGGTAAAATCAGCTCTTTTAAAGTTTAAGATACTGGTTGGATTATTTTCTATTATTTGTGTTTGCATTATATTGAATTCCAGTATGATGTGGTCACTTTCACCCAAGATTCCAGCAACTTCAACTCCCTCTATCACTTCTTCTCTGTTAGTAAGAATTAGGTCCAGTATAGCTTTACTTCTAGTTCCCTCCTCTACCTTTTGGATGATAAAGTTGTCGGCTGGGTTGGTTAGGAATCTGTTTGATCTCCCACTCGCTGCAGAGTTAGTCTCCCAGTTGATATCTGGATAGTTAAAGTTCCCCATTACTACTGTGGTATGCTTCCTACATTTGTTAACTAGTTGTCAAAAAGTTCGTCTATTTCTTCTGATTGGTTGGGATTATATATAATATAATATAATATACAACTATGGGAATGTCATTTTTTTCCCCTTTTCTATTGACCCGTATACATTTTGGAGGGGTTTTATCTTTGATCATGTGCATTTCTGTAGATATGTAGTGATTTCTCACATATAGTGCAACTTCACCTCCTCTTTTTGCTGATCTGTTTCTTTTGAACAATTTATATCCGTCCATCAGTACATTCCAGTCATGGGTTTCATCCCATCAGGTTTCTGTAATGGCAAATATGTCATACCTACCCTCGTGTACTATTACTTCTAGTTCACCTTTTTTGTTCCCCAACCTTTGAGCATATACAATTAGTCTTATCTGTTTCTAATAATATAATATGCTATAGCTGTAAGCTATAAATATACTTTAATTTTTCTGTTGTATGGCAGTTCATAAATGGAAAATCAGAAGACTGTGAATCTAGAATTACTATCTTTGGAATATTGAATAGCTATCTTATTTGTTCCCCGCTTATGCATGATAATCCATAATTCATCTTTTTTTTAAAATAATAATACAAACAATACAAACATATACATATACATCTAAATGCAAAAAAAAAGAAAAGAAAAAAACACAAATAATACAGTGTACTCCCACGCCCAGAGACCATTTCCCCCCCTTATATTTCTTCTTCTATAACAGCTAAAAGATGTATAATATATTTTAATTGTGCCCTTATCCCCTCCAAAACAGCATATGTTCTTGAGTAGGTTTGCCTTCCAACAACACTGATTTTATAAAATCCCCCCATATTTCATTATAATTGTTTGCTTTAATCATCCCTTTTTTGTTGTTCTGTTGTTAATTTATCATTTGTTGCCATACTCCAAATTTCATTATACCATTCATTTCTTTGAATATCCCAATTTCATCCCCAATATTTAGCCATCACTAATCTAGCTGCCATTATCAAATTTACAATCATTTCTTTTTTTGTTTCATTTATATCCCGTTGTTCCACCAGCAACAATAATGCAATTCTCGGTGACATATCTAAATTTACATTCAAAATTGCTCTAATTTCTCTAAACACCATGTCCCATATTTTTGTGCACTGTCACAATCCCACCACATGTATTTTATATGTTCCAACCTCTTTCTTGCACCTCCAGCAAATATTTGTATATTTGCCATCTATTTGATTTAGTTTACATGGTGTTAGGTACCACCTCTATATCACTTATATCCATTTTCCTTAACTCTAACTGGCATATTCTTATATACTCTTCTATTCCAAATATTTTTCCAACCATTGTCATTTATTTCTCCTAAATCTGATTCCCAAATTAATTTTAAACCTTTTGCCTGCTCTTCTAATTCAGTTAATCTTCTATATATTTTCCCAATTCTTCCTTTACCTATATATTTATTTATTTATTTATTTATTTATTACATGTATTTATATGCCGCCATTCTCCCGAAGGACTCAGGGCGGCGAACACAAGTTAAGAAATAAGCACAATAAAATCACATAATCAATAATTTAATCCAAATAATTAATTAGTAGTAAATAATAAAGCCCGGAATCAGTCTCAGCCTATTTGTTTGAAAAGCCAAGTCTTCAAGTCCCGACGGAAGGAGCGGAGATCAGGAATCGTCCGGAGCTCAGTAGGTAATTCATTCCAGAGGGTGGGAGCACCCACAGAGAACGCCCTACCCCTGGGCACAGCAAGGTGACATTGGCTCGCCGTCGGAACCCTGAGGAGAGCGGCCCTATGTGAGCGAACAGGACGGTGAGAGGCAGGCAGGAGAAGGTCATGCAAATATCCTGGACCTAAGTCATGAAGGGCCTTATAGGTGAGGACTAGCACCTTGAAGCGGACCCGGAGAACCACTGGTAACCAGTGCAGCTCACGCAGGAGGGGTGTTATATGGGAGTAACGAGGGGCTCCCATAACAACCCGTGCAGCTGCATTCTGGATCAGCTGGAGTCTCCGGGTGCATCTCAGGGGCAGGCCCATGTAGAGGGAATTCTTCATTCACCTCACATTCTTTTATAATCATTTAATCATGTTAACTGTCTATATTTCTCCTCAAATCTTTCTTCCACTTTTATCCATTTCTCTAATTGTATTAAATTCAACCAATTTAATTTAATATCTGCTAAAACATTCTTTAGTTGTGTTATATTCTTTATCTTGTTCTTCCAGTCTTCCCATTTATATATCTGATTTTCTTTTAGTTTACTAATCCATTCTTTCAATTCCGTCTTAGGGAATTTCTCCATTTCCACCACCGGTGTTAAAGGAGAAATTCCTGGCATTAGCCAGTATCTCCATTTATTCCATAATTCTATCAAATTTTTTAAAAAGGGATTTTGAATCCTCCCAGCAATTTTTAAAATATCTTTTTTAAACCGATATGTTTCTATAGGATCATCTATTTCCCTTAATTCTTTCAACTCTATATCCCTCCATATAGATATTATTGCTATAATATCTTGGACCACCTTTAATTGATTAGCTACCCAATAATTTCTAACATTTGGAAGACCCAGCACACCCTTTTTTAATGGTTCATACCACAGTGCTTTACTTATTCTTGCTCTCTTACCTCCATTACAATGCACCTCCAGCAACCTCTGTATTTGCTTTAATTCTTGATCTGAAAATTTAATTGGTATCATCTAAAACAAAAAAATAATTTTTAGTAAAACTTTCATTTTTATCATTGCAATTCTTCCAAACCATGATAATTTTACTTTCTCAATATTTATCTATTTTATCTATTATATCTTTCTTTAGCTTTTCATAATTTATTTTCTTTAATTTTTGAATATCTTTTGGGATATCAATACCTAAATATTTAACACTATCTACTATTTTTAATTTATATTTTCCTTTCAATGCATCTACTTCTTCTTTACTATGGTTATATAAACATCATTTCTGATTTTTCCCAATTTATTTGTAATCCACTATATTTCCCAAATTCATTCAGATGTAAATATATCCTCTCTATATTAACTACGGGATTTTGAAATGTTAATAATGTGTCATCTGCAAATAAATTTATTTTAGTTTTCTTCTGTATACCAATTCCTTTTTTTTATTAAAAAGTTTTATAAGAAATACAAACATTTCCCCCCCCATCCTTTCCCCCTCCCCCCTTCCCCCCCCACCCCCCTCCCTAGACTTCCCAGAACAGGCATAGGGTATAGCATTCACAAACATAAAGCTAAAATATGCTAACAAATTATTGCATTCATATTCTCCCTAGATCTTTAACTCCTTATAGCTCAAAAACTATAAACATAAACTACTTAAAAATATTTCATTCATAAGCTATATAAATCTTCTTGTTCGGGTACTTTTTTTGCATATAATCAATCCATCTTCTCCATTCTGATATATATCTTTCATTTGAATGATCTTTAAGATATGATGAAATTTTTGCCATCTCAGCCAGATGCACAACTTTTAATGTCCATTCCTCAATGGTAGGTGGATCTTCCTTCTTCCAGTACTGTGCCACCAGTAACCTGGCAGCTGTTATTAAATTCAAAACCAACTTAGTCTCTATTACAGTACAATCCGTGACTATTCCCAACAAAAAAAACTGTGGTGTAAATTTAATTTTTTTCCTTAAAATATTTTGAATAATCCACCATATTTTAATCCAAAAAGCCTTATTTTTTTTACATGTCCACCATATATGAAAATATGTAGCATCTTCACACTCACATCGCCAACACTTGGGTTGTAAATTTGGATACATGCAAGCTAGTTTTTTGGGGTCTAAATGCCATCTATAAAACATTTTATAAAAGTTCTCTCTTAAATTTTGAGCTTGTGTGAATCTTACATTTCTAACCCATATCTTTTCCCATGTATCCAACATTATTGGTTCACCTATGTTTTGTGCCCATTTTATCATACAATCCTTGACTAGCTCTGTTTCCGAATCTATTTCCACTAATACATTATACAACCTTTTAATATGCATTTGACCTTTATCTCTTATTTGCTTTATCAAATTCTCATCCTGCTGCATAATACCAGTTTTTTGATCCTCTCTCCATCTGGCCTGTAGCTGACCATATTGAAACCAAGTCTTAATAATTCCTTCTTCTCTTGATTGCTCCATAGATTTTAATTGTAATCTGACTCCTTCCTTATAAAGGAGTTCCTTATATGTAAACTTATCTTGCTTTTGCTTCAAATTTATATTCTCTATCGCGTGTCTGGGTGCTGTCCATATTGGTAACTTATCCTTTAGTTTATATTTATACTTTTTCCAGACACGCAGTAGAGCATTTCTTAATATATGACTTTTAAAAGTCTTATCTACTTTCTTGTCATACAATAGGTAAGCATGCCAGCCGTAGACCAGACCGTATCCTTCAATATTCAGTATCTCTTCCTCCATTAAATTTATCCAATCTGTAATTGCTGAGAGGGTAGCAGCTTCATAATACATCTTAAATTGGGCATTTTAAGACCACCTCTTTCTCGGGTGTCTTTTGATTAACTCGTGGTTTCTTCCCTGCCCACACAAACTTGTTTATGCCCTTCTGCCATTCCTTCAAATTTTCATCTTTTTTAAGTATGGGTATCATTTGAAAAAGAAATAAGAATCTTGGTAAGATGTTCATTTTTACAGCAGCTATCCTACCCAGCAGATAGTTGCAATTTCTTCCAATTTTCCATCTCTTTCTGTATTTTTTGCCATAACGGTTCATAATTATGTTGATATAATTTCATATTTGCGGTCATAATATAAACCCCTAAATATTTAACCTTCTTAACTATTTCAAATGTTAACCTTTCTATCTCTTCTTTCTGGCTTCTGTCCATGTTTTTAGCTATTATCTTTGTTTTAGCTGTATTTATTTTAAAACCAGATACTTGTCCATATGAGCAGATTATATCCATCAAGGCGGTAATCGATTGTACCGGTTGGGCTAAGGTAACCACCAGGTCATCCGCAAATGCTCGTAACTTATATTCATGCCGTCTAATTCTGATTCCCTTTATTATATCAGTCCCACATATTTTATTTAATAAAATTTCCAGCGTCAAAATAAACAATAACGGAGACAAGGGACAGCCTTGTCTTGTTCCTTTTTCTATATTAAAATTATCTGTTAAGCCACCATTGATTATTATTTGCGCTGTTTGTTTTTGATATATTGCCTTAATACATTGTATAAAATGCTCTCCAAATTGCATCCTTTCTATTAGTTTTAATAAGAATTGCCAATTCAATCTGTCAAAAGCTTTTTCAGCATCCAGAAAAACTAGCACTGCAGGGACCTGGTTGTTCCTTCCCAAATACTCTAATAAGTTAACAATTTGCCTTACATTACTTTTCATTTGTCTTCCATTTATAAAACCAGTTTGATCATGATGAATCATTTGCTGCATAACTGTCATTAATCTGTTTGCTAAAATTTTAGCAAAAATCTTATAGTCTGTATTTAAAAGTGAAATTAGGCCTATAGTTTTTAGGATCTGTGTAGTCTTGCCCATCTTTTGGGATCAGCGATATAAATGCTGTCTTCCAAGTTGGAGGTACCTCTCCTCCCTGTTGTATATTATTGAATAATTCCTTCAGTGGTTCCACCATTTCCTCCTGTAAACTTTTATAATAAGTAGCTGTCAAACCATCCGTTCCAGGAGCTTTATCCACTTTCAACTGCTTAATTGCAAACATAATTTCCTCGGAAGTTATCAATTGATTTAAGCTATCCCTCTGCTCTTTTGAAGTTATACAAATATTCTCTGTAGATATCTATCTATATCTATATCTTGAATTTTATCACCAGTATACAGCCTTGAATAAAACTCTAAAAAGGCTTTTTTAATCAATTCTTGCTCATAAACCTCCTTACCCTTGTATTTTATTTTCTCTATTGTCCTTGCTTTCTGCTTTTTCCTTAACAAATATGCCAACCACCTACCTGGTTTATTGGCATTACAAAAAGTATTATGTTTTGCATATTGTAAGTTGGTTGCCACTTGATCTGCTATTAACATATTAAACTGACCCTTCAGTAAATTAATTGCCTCTTTAATTTTCTTATCTGTTGGGTTGGCTATTAAAGCCCGTTCCTGTTTATTAATCTCCTCTTCTAATTCTTTTCTTTTTGCCTCCTGTTTCTTTCCATATTTATTATTCAAATATATCAAAATTCCTCGCATGTAGGCTTTACTTGCGTCCCATACCATTTCCATAGATGTACCCTTTTGCATATTCATAGCAAAAAACTCTTTCATAAATTTTTTACACTCTTTTACATTTTCTTCGTATCTAAACAGATTATAATTTAACCTCCAGGACCTCCTAGGCCCTTTCCCATACTCCAATTCCATCCAGACTGGACTATGGTCTGTCAATGTTCTTGAACAGGTCTTCGTGTTCTTCATCCTAGATAATAAATCATTAGTAATTAATATAAAATCAATCCTTGAAAAAGATTGATGTCTATCCGAAAAAAAAGTAAAATCTTTTTCTTCTGGGTTTCTTTCATGCCAAATATCCCTCAACTCCCAGTCATCCATCATCTCCCAGAACGATTTGAGCAATTTTGCTCTTGTTAAAACATTTTGTTTAGGTCCCTTCTTATCTTTTTTTACATCCATAACACAATTCCAATCTCCCAATAGGATACAAGTTTTATATCTCCATTGTGTCAACTTTGAGTGTAGTAAGTTATAAAATTTTTCTTGTTGTTGGTTCGGGGCATATACTCCAATTACAAGCGTTTTTTCTCCTTTTATTAAAAGTTCAATCGCTAAAAATCTTCCTTGATCATCCGCTTCAACTAATTTTGCAATTAAGTCTCTTTTTACATATATAACTATACAATTTTTCTTCTCTGATGCTGCTGCAACATAATGTATACCTAATCTTGCATTTGTCAAATATTTTTGATCTTGTATCCTAATATGAGTCTTTTGTAAACAAATTACATCATTCTTAAATTGTTTAAGATAGTGAAATATTTTCCTTCTCTTCTGTGGAGAATTCAAACCGTTGAAGTTCCAAGTCAAAAATCTAGTTCCCATCTCTGGGCCTCTGAAGCGTCTGGAGCAATTTTTGATGGTCTTGCCTCATTTGACCTTTAGGTCTTGCTCCCCCCACAGCTTCTGTTTTGGTAGTTTCTTGGGTTGCTATCTGCAGTTGTTGTTGTTGTTGTTGCTGCTGCTGCTGTCTTAATTCTTCCTTACGCTTAGCTGTTGCTGCTCTGGTCTGTCTTTGATCCTTCGGTTCTGCAAAAATATCAATTAACTCCACATCTTGAACAGCCATCTGAATTTGTAGTGGTTCTTCTTGACCAGTCAAAACTCCCCCCTGAACCACTGTCAGTAGCTCTTCTCTCTCTCCTTCCCGTACTTCCTTCTTTCTTTTTCCTTCTGGTGATTTGGGTGTCCCAGCCTTTAATACGTTGATATAAAAATCTCTTGCTTTCCATATTGTATTAAGCCGGTATATAAATTGGACATAAAATAAAATTAAATTAAAATAAATAAATAAATTGACACGATATACCTTGTCAATCTGCCAGCCCAGTTCAGTTTTCATCTCCCCCAGCAACTGTGCCAATGCCTCTGACATCATTTCTTTCAAATTCTCTTGTTTATTCTCCTTCACCCCTCTAAATCTTAAAGCAAATTCCATATCTCGGTATTGTAACATCGTTACATCATCTTCAGCTCTCTCAAG